TTTACAGTAGAACCTCGATTATCCGCCCTAATTGGGGACTGGGGTTGGTCGGATAATTGAAAAGTCGGATAACCGAAAAGTATGAAAAAATCCATTATTAGTATAGTATATTAGTATATCCCATGTAATTAGTATATTAGTATATCGCTATTAACCTATTTTGCGTTGAATTTTCATCGATGTTAAGCCTAACAAACTTTTTTTTTAAATAATATCGTCGCTATTCTATCGTTAAAAATTATTTTAAAATTATTTTATTGCTCACAAAACAAACAACCACTCATAATTAGAAAATTAAGTCTCGTTTAAATACTGGCCTCCCTTTCATGGTCGAGCCAGTGTTGCCAGCTAAAACACGCAAAAATTTAACAAAAATAATATTAAATTAGCCAAGACATACCCAAATATTGTAGCGCCACATCACTAGCGGACATTTGAAATCTGCCGACTAGAACGGTCGGTTAACCGATGTGACGTCTTCTACGTCACAAGACCTGTTGTGATGTCAGGTTCAAGCCTGGTAGGAATCTAGGTAGCCATGTATAGTCCCTAGTTCATGTTGCTTTGGTTGGAGGGGTGTGCTGATATGATGTGATGAGTGCTTCCATTGTCTGAGGAAAAAACATGCTTAATGGCAATATAGGGTACGTTCATAAAGTTGAACGAGTTAAACGAGAATAACGTCATCATTATTCTTATTTTGTTAGACTCTTCAAATGATTCGTGTATAACTAAATGGCTGTTTCTAAAATCAAAGATATGAATGTTGCTAGTGCAGCCTTATTCGAAATATTTTTCTTAGATTGCTTTGGGTGGACAGTTATTTCTATCAATTCGCCTTTTAATTCACAGTTTAAACACTCAGGTAGATTTAGAAACATCGATATTGTCGGGTGCCATTTTCTTAACAATGTGAACTAACTCTTTGTGAACTTCGTTAGAGTTTCGTTTGAAACGTCATCACCGCAGAGCATGCACACTGAGTGAGATTACTACTATTCGAACGATTCGTTACTAACATGTTTAACTCATTCAACTTTATGAACATAACCATAGTCAACTCATAAATACAGATCACTAGGGGAACAGTGATTAATTAGCTTTATCAAATATTTGTATGAATGATTTTCAGGGTCAAGGTCAAGTTTTATAATTTAAGGGAATTAAGGCTTAATAGGTGATCAAAATCTCTAAATTATTATATTTTGAATTAATTTTCTAAATAAAGTTAAAAAAATAAAATTTATTTACAAAAATAAATTAGTGTTCTAAATGACTTTAAAATCAAACAAAATGAGGAGGAGAGTGTATTTGCTGTTCAAGTGTTGAGCAGTATATCAGAGAGATTAAATAATACAAAGATGAAAGAAATTTATGATTTTTTTTTGTTGAAGATTGTTTGAAAAAGTAGAAAATGTTTTTTGGAGCCAATAGAGTAAAAAAGCAGCCAAATTTTGCACAAAGTAGCCAAACCTGGCATCACTATGTGCACTCCCTGACATGCAAACTAGTATGTGTTTGCATGGGACTGCATCCATTTAAACGGATTGGCATCCTTAAACTTTAATTCCTATTTTCTGATTACAGTAGAATTCAAACATCTGCTAAAACCAGATGTTTGAATTGTTCTACAATTGGAGATTGAACCTGTCTTTGCTTACTAAGAGAATAAAATCTACCAAAAATGGAACAATTATTATAGTACCACTTTTAATTGTTCACTTCGAAAAGTGTAAAATGCAACCGTTATTGGAAATTGGTTATTTCTTGGGGCTGTGAAGGTAATTTACAGTTAATGAATTCTGGTAAGATTTTTGTTGGCTTTATCGTATGAAAATTAACATTGTAACAATGGTGTGAGAATCCAAAAATGAGTTATAAAATTTATTGCAAAAATCCATTTTATTAATAAATTTAGAAAAACAGCTAGAATTTGGGAATTGGTCCAGACTGCTATTCGCTCGTGAATTAAAAATTAAAACTTTTTCCTGTCAAGTAATAATGTACATTAAATACTTTAACTTAATTTCTTTGACTTATTTTTCCCATCGAAAAGACAACACTTTTGTGTCAAAAAGGGAAATTGAACTTCCTTTCACAGGAGCTTATCTCAAATTTTAATGAACAACTGGATGTTTGTCTCATTTTTATGTCCCGTCAGCTGATACAAACCCCAAATTTTGATTGGAAGGGACTTACATATAAAAAGGGCAATTTCCCACCATTTGGGGCCATTTTTGCCAATGTTCTACAACCTAGAGTAATCTTCTCCAGTCCCGAATTTGAATCGAATCTCCATCTGCTGAGTATCGCCAATTAACCTCTCCACAAGAGGAATATCAATGAAAGACCTATTGTTTATTATTTTAATGGAAAGATCAACATTTATCAACCGAGGTAGTATGTTTTTAATGATGTAAATACTCTCTCTCTCGCATTTAAATATGGACTTTAGAAGCTATCTGTTTGTGTAATCACATATTTGTATTTTTATGTTTGTTATTTTCATTAAATTTTGCTTTTAGATAGTTTAAATGGTCTCATTCTTGATTTTAAATATATGCTGATGTCTTATCGGGAGTCCATGAATCCTCCCTCTCAAACAAAATTATAAGAACTTCATTTTGCTGGTGTTGGGAAAAATTAGCAGGAAGTTCTTACGATCTTCCTTAGTCTTTCGAACAATTTTACGATTCCATCCACTGACAAAGTGGATGGATCTTGCAGATCTGAAGCCAAACATGGGTAAGAGACAACCTTTTCTTAACTCCGGATTCCCATAATGGTGAAATTTGCTTTAACATGAGAATTTGTTTTATTAGTGTTTGTTTTAATGTGAGTCGACTATAATATAACTTAGATCATATCTGTCTAAGAGAGGTGTTCATCTCCTGTTCATAACTATAGAATTAATATTTTTACTGTAAATTGAATAATTGATCATACTGTGAAGTTTTATCTACCACTTCTGGATCATCCTGTATACCTGTTACCATATTTTAAAATTATTTATTTCTATTAATTATGTAATTAAAAAAGAATAAAGTAAATTGTTTCCTTTTAGCATATTTAATGAAGATACTGTACTGTCTACTCCCTGTTATATTGATGTAAGTGTTTTTAAAAATAATTCAAATATATCAAGATTATATTTAAATTAATAAATATTATTATTATTATTTTTTTTAGAATTATCAATTGGCAGTGTATGAAAATTGCCCATTTGTCATCAAGGAGCATGCATTTTCTGTACCAGAGAAATGTCTTGTTCTTCAACAATTTACTAAAGTAAAATTTTAATTACTTTTCATTTCTATGTATACAGTATAATGTCGGCAATCTGGCTACTTGTTGTTTAATGTAAACTCTGTCTCTGCAATACAGAGAGAGTTTAGATTAAATGATGATTAACAGCCAAATAATGTCTAGACATTGGCTTTCTGTACCATGGTTTGAAATGCATTGCAAAGACGACAATTGTCTGTTTCTGAACACTGTCTAAACAATCCTTGATAAGATGTTGGCTATTACTTTCTTTACTGTTACTCCCCTCCTGGGTTATGATAACTGTACTGTGGCAGTGAAAAAAGCTGTGAGGGAGAAGATTTAAAGAAAATGCTTATACCATAGAACAGGTCGGCATTTTGTCAAGTGAGAAGAGCCAAATTGTCATGGAAACAGGATAACAAAAGTACCAGAGAGCTGCATATATGTAATATACATATGTATAGGATATGGATTTTTAGGGAAAAAAGTTCAAAATGTTTTATTTAAAAATTTAATTAGAATGGTGTCCAAGCATTGCTTTTGATAGCTTTACTATATCTGGCAAATAGCTACTTATTTTTAATTGAATACATGATTGTTTGGTGGCTCTATCTCATAAACTCATAAGTTATAAGGCTGCTTGAGATGAGATGAAATTGGAGTTTATATCCAAAGAGCTGCATGCAGCTCGCAAGCCATTCCTGCTGACCCCTGCTATAGAACAATTGAAAGGCAAGTGAATGTAAAATTGTTTTATAATTGTTAGGCTGTTAACAACTGCTGTTTGGAGTTAATGGCAATCATTTCCATTTAGATGTTTAATTTTGTTGGCAATACAGTAGAGCCGTACCAATCCAACCCCCGATCAATCGTCACATCGGTTAACCGACCACATTCTAGTCGGCAAATTTAAATGTCTGCTAGTGATGTGACGCTACAATATTTGGCTATGTCTTGGCTACTTTAAATTAATTAATTAATAGTATTTTTACGTGTTTTAGTTGGCAACATTGGCTCGACCATGAAAGGGAGACAGTATTTAAATGAGGCTTAATTTTTTAATTTTTAACGATACAATAGCAACGATTATTATTTTTAAAAAATTTTTTGTTAGGCTTAACATCAATGAAAATTCAATGCAAAGTAGGTTAACAATGATATACTAATATACTAATTACATGGGATATACAGTAGACCCCCCTATAACACGGGTTCTTATAGTTCGGATTCCGATATGACGGCGAAAAAATTGTGACGGTATTTTCATTTTTTTCATTTTTTGAAAAAAAAATGAAGATACCGTTGCAATTTTTTTTAATTACCGGCGAAAAACTTGCGACGGTATCTTACACTTTGTATAAATCTTTATTTCCGAAGATGGCCTCGGCTCCGCAGAGCACCACCGAGGTTAGGAGCAGAATGTTTACAAGCATATTACGTGTAAAACAGGTTACATTACAAGAATATGTTAGATTACAGCTATATATTTTAGAGTTCAGTTAATGTACAGTACTTGGCAAATTATTGACCGCAGAGTAGCCAAATACTTACATAAAATAATTTGCATAGGAGTTGATTACATAAATACATGGTAACATACATCGGGTATTATTAACAAATGAACATAGAATATTATAATACAAAATTATTATATCAATGATAAACACATTCGAGAAAACATCAATCCATTGAGACAAATTGACCTAATTAACGGTAGTTCTGTTGACATAAGTATGTACTAGTTCTTTAAATGCTACAAAACAGTTTTTGTCTTTGACAAATATGTCAAGGCTGCAAGGCCAATTTTCTTCTCACGGAAGTAGAGTGGTGATGGTAAGTAAATTAAACTTCCCTCTAACACCGGGGATGAAATACTAAATACGGAACCTGTTACCGGTGTACTTTTTGCATGAAAAAATCTTCTTTCCACAAACGTTTTCGAGCTTCCTAGATAGCTCTTCTTCAGGTATAGAAAAAATTCCGATGGAATACTTTGAAAATTGAACATAGATGTTTAAATAAGCATGGTTACCATGGTCTAACACACCGTCTAATTGAGCGACATCAATGCTCGCAATACGCACCCACTACGCATACGAAGACCAATACTGACCAGGATGAACGTACACGTCTCCCAGTCACCTTTAACCCATATGTTAAAGGGATATACGCTGAGATTGCCAGAAAACAACAATTACAAATAGCCTATAGAAGATGCCCAACAATCTACGACATCCTCAGAAATGGAAAAGGCAGTCCAGTTCGTAGCAGGCTTCATGGCCTGTACTCTATCCCGCTGAAAGATCACAGATGTAACGAGAACCTTGTCTATATTAGCTCAACTAAGCGATCTTTAAACACCAGAATACAAGAGCATCAAGCAGACCTTCGGCATGGGCGGTACACCACAGCCCTAACCACCTTTGCATCCGATCCCGATATAGAACCGGAGTTCGACAAAGCTGATATCATCGACACTATGCCCCACCTGGAATATCTAAAATGGCGGGAAGCTATATCCATCTGTAAGGCTAACCACCTGACCACATGTATAAATCGGAAGGATGAGATTAATCTTTCTATAGCGTGGCAGGCCCTCATAAACAACGATCTATAAATATCAACATCAGCGCACGAATGCGCATGACCGTCCTAATGATTGTTCGTTATACGAGTCTCATATTTTGTTTAAACAGCGGCGTTCTATTTTTAGGTTCGTTTTTTATTTAAACATCTACGTTCAATTTTCGAAGTATTCCGTCTGAATTTTTTCTATACCTGAGGAAGAGCTATCTAGGAAGCTCGAAAACATTTGTGGAAAGAAGATTTTTTCACGCAAAAAGTACACCGGTAACAGGTTCCATATTTAGTGGTGATGGTAAAATGCTTATCGTCCAACATAGGGCATTTAAATAGATAGTGTTTTACTCCATCTGTTTCGTTACAAATTTCGCACAGTGAGTTTTCCGATTTGCCAAACCTGTGAAGATATTGGTTGAACTTCCCATGTCCAGTATAGAATTGGACCAATTTTTGGTCAATGATTGGAAGAGTAGAATCTGAAACCTTGGGGAAAAACTCCTTTCTAAGACATTAGCTATGCTCCTCCCATTGTCTTTGCCAGATAGCAAATGCATTTTCTTTTGTTTGTCTTAAGATGTGACATTGGGGAGTGGCATTATAGCTTGGTTCACTTTCTAGTTCAGAAGCCATGCGGGCAAGTTGGTCAGCCCGCTCGTTTCCAGAAACATTGGCATGACCCGACCCAAACGATGGCATACCTGTTGATATCTTTGGCCAATTCCAGCAAGATATCGTGGACTATAGGTGAATGCCACTGGAGGTTGTGAATGGCTTGAATAGACGAGTAGGAGTCTGTAAAGATAGTTATTTCTGTTCTATTATATATGGAGTCGCACCATCTAATGGCCGAAAGAATGGCCCAGAGTTTTGCTTGAAAAACGGAATAGGTTTCCCCAAGTCTTGTTGTATATGTGAATGCATATAATTAACATCTTATTCTTGCCGAGAAATATAATTTATTTGAAACAAACAAACGTTTTCAGCCTGATTCACAGGCCATCCTCAGGTTTAGAACACATTTGAATTCAAATGTGTTCTAAACCTGGTTGAGGTTAATAGGCCTATAGATCTCTACAATTACAATTCATACAAATACAAAAATCATGAAGAAGACAGAAAAGCAATCGACATTGGACAGATTCTTTAACCCTTTCAAACGGAAAAAAACATGACTAATAAAAATGCAAGACTGTGTACGTATGTATTTTTATTATTACATGTGAATAAACATAGTAAGAAAGTATATATATTTTTATTTTTGGGGGGGTCTCCAGAACGAATTAATCAAATTTCCATAGAAACCTATGGTAAATTGATAATCGGTTAACGAACAATTCGGATAGCGAACAAAGTCTTGGAACAGATTATGTTCGTTAACCGATCACCCACTGTATTGGTTTTTTTCTCTTTGTTATATTTTACCCCTAGTTGTTTCAGAGCAAAGTTAGTGTTTATTGTTCCTTTACCTGGCACAAAAATCAAACTACTACTCATTGATTGTTGTGACTCACAAATTTAGTTTTCAATAATTCTCTCCTAAATCTCCATAGAATGACTTATCGGTTTAATGTTTCTGTAGTTTGTGCAATTGTGAATGTCACCTTTCCTTTTATAAATATATTATATTAATTATTTTTAATGTCAGATGAATTATTATCATTAAAATATTTATCATCAAATAATAATCTTGTTTTTTTGTTTTATAGCAAGAAAGAACTTTATTGCAGCCATTTTCACATACTAAATCCAATGAGAGTACAGTTGTTAACTCGTATTCATGTAATAAAATTGTAGAGAGCACTGTTAATAATAATGAATCTGAATGGACTGGATGCCCATTAGAGGCCAGTTTTAACTTAACTCTTAATGAGATGACATTTGAAACAACAAATACAGTATTGTCTCCAAAAAATATAGCAAGAAAAGTATTTTCTGCAGTTCCCATTAAAATAGCAAGGTTTTTCTTTTCCTTGAGCACATTTAAAATTGATGCTGATTTATTTTTATTAAAAGTTTATTTCTACATTTCAGATTATATTTATCCTTGTATAATATTTACTTGAGTCAAAACACAAATAAAGAGACTCTACCTCTTTGGATACCCTGCAATGGAAATGATCCCAATTGCACAGTTTGGATGGGTGTACATTGTGTGGATGGAAAGCATATTCGAATTATCTTAAATTGTTTGGGTAAATTAATTTTCTATGTAATTTTTTTAATCAAAGATGACAAGAATTAAAAAGTGATTTACAAACTCTTTGTAATTTTAAAATACAAGTATCAAAATGTTTTAGAAAACGTTTTTATATATTACAAAATAAAGCTTTTTTACTTTAGGCCCTTCAAAAATAGACAAGTTGCCTCACTTGGATATCATCAAACAAAATAATTTGATGGGTTTCTCAAATATAAATACTCAAGTAAGTCTCTAAAAGATTTTCTACTTATAAAAGTGAAAATCATATATATTAATATTATACTTCACAAATATTATATTTAGATGACAATTGAAGCTTTTGCCAGTTATGTTATACCTGATATGCAAACAGTTTTTGATGAAAGTAGCATGACACAAAATTTGGAAAATTTGAAAGAAAGTTCTATTATTATTCAGTGCAGCTGGACTAATGTTAATCAGATTTTGGAACAACCAAACAGTAATGCTAAATGTAATCTTGTGAGTATTAAAATTTGTGTATATCGAAAGAATTAAAATTTTTAAGTAGGCAAAAACAGTCTGGAAATTTAGTATTTTAAATTTTAAGTTGTATAAACTAATAAAATATTTTTCAAATTTTATTGTTTTGTAGCTTATCAGTATAACTTCTGGTGCTGGAAAAAATTCTGCTTATTTAATTTCAAGTGATCTGGAATTAATTAGAGTAAGTTTATTTAACTAAATCATAATGTAAATATATCTAAATTATGACAGTGTTTATGTAATTATGAATTATATGATGTATCCTCCAAAAGTTTTGGGACTGAGTTCATAATTCCAGAAATTGTTAGAGTTACAATGCTGAAATACATCACCCTTCAAAATAAGCTAAAACTACTCTTGATACCTGTATCAATACTTCTGTGATATCAGGACATATCTACACATGACACACATCTAAATACTAGTCTAACTCCTTCCACATTTGCTGCAAGCATGTTCATTGTGATTGCAGCCACAGCAGCAATGATGCAATTGCAGAATTCCTTGAGATTTCTGAGTAGAGGTAGCATGTAAACAGCCTCCTTTACAAATTCTCACAAGAAAAAGTCACACAGTGTATGGGGACCTGAGTGGTTACTAGAGGAGCTAAGGCTCATAGATCCCACAGCAACCAATCCAGCAGCAAGAAAGAATATGGTTTAGGAATATTGAAGATGAAAATAGGGTAATGTCCCATTTTGATGAGAAATTTAGTTTTTAGAACCATTGCACAGTTGATGGAACAGCCAGTTTCCCTATTTATCATGGTGGATGATACAGTGTCTTTGGGAAAAAGGAAAGTGTCATGCATCTTATTGATATCAAAAATTTTTGGATTTCAATATTACTGCAATTTTTATGAAGTAAGAAATGATTAACTTTGAACTTTTTTATAATCGTTAATATTGATTTTACATTAGGTTTTATTTATTTATTGTTTATCCATAAGTCTGTCAGAATTTAATGATAGTTCAGTTTTGTGAATTAGCAAAATTAAACCAAAAGTTATCTAAAAAGTATTTAAAAATATTAAAAGTAAGTTTTTTATTTATGTTTATTAGTAACTTAAATTATTTTAATATTCTAGAACTTAAGTTTGGGTTTGGAAAGTGGTGAAGTAACTTGGCCTGCAAAATCTGATCATGATGTATTAGCAGAAATAAAAACGCTAATGGAAAGTTGGTGATGTCTTAAAAATCTAGAAAAGTTTTAGAAAAATAAAAATATAATTTTATTTACTATTAAAAAATAATTAATATTACAGATTTGAAGTACAGTAGCTTGAGAAAGAAAGTCGAATGCAATATTAATATGACCAATGAATTTAATGATTTTCAATTGGATTCAACTATGCTTGGAATTCGACAGGATCAGGATTTTACAGATGAATTGTGGAATGTCCTTAAAAGTTAGTTAAAATTTTGGAATTTTTATGACAGTAATAAAATTCATTTTAAATATACACAAATATAATTGGATAAAATAGTGAACCAAAATTATGTACCCAAACTCCAGCATACATTGAATAGATTTCTTCACAAACTATTCAATGTATGCTGGAGTTTGGCCATCATCGTAGGTTATCGCCACTTTTTGAATGTAGAACAATGTTTAAGATTGAATGCTTTATTTCAAAACTTGGAATGTCATGTTTGTTCGAATTGTTTAAACATCTAAAGGGCTACTACACCTGCAATGTTCAATGCTTCTGATCGGTCAGTTGTATCTGTTATGTGCCTATCCTTGGGGAGTGATATTCTGGTCATTGTCTCTCGTCTTTCATCTCTCACAAGCCGGTTGCTGATTGGCTAATTATTTGTTTACGTCTCGAGAGATCATTGTCTCTCTTCAAATGCGATTCTGAACAACTTTTTCTCTCAATGATTCTCTCTTTTGTCAGAGATGAGGTTGCTTTTGACACAAGGCACAGGGTAAGTTCTTTTTCTTGCTGCCAACTGGTTTTTATTTCTATCTGCTCCAGTCAACCTCTGGTTCTCTGAAGCAGATTCTCCTAGGGCTGTTGGGCTCCACTTTACACATCTCTCACTCCACTCCTCCCAGCTAGTGGCAGTAGCATTAATATAACCTGATGTAATTCAATAATCATTTGGCATTAATCTTAAAGATTGGGTTAAATGATGTTTATATTCGTGTCTATAGCTTTTAATAAAATTGATTTGATTTTGAACCATGTTTGTACAACCAAATCCAACTTTACAAAGATTACCAAAATTAATTTTTAAAAATTGCTGTAAAAATTTTATAGAATGAATAAAAATCAGTTATATGTTATTGAATTGAAATTTTTTAAATTTAATTTTAATATTATATAGGATGTTGTTCTTATCAAGAGCTGAAAAGCTGCTTATTAAGTGTTATTGATGTGTTGAAAACAGGTGAAATAAAACCAGTTGTAAGTAAAATTAGCAAATTAAGTTAAAATTATATGATACATAGTCTATAAAAATAATCATTTATATAATTCAAAGGTCTTCAGAAATAATACAACAAAAATTGCAAAAATGACTGTTTTGAAACATGACAATATTGAATCCTACATGTTAGAAGGACGATCGCTTTTGAATCTCTTGTTAGAAATTGGAATGGAGAAATTAAGGCGAGACTTTATGTATATATTTGTTCGTAAGTGAAACCAAAATATGTCTTTTTAATTTAAAAGTAATTTCTGATGATGGAAAAGTATTGAACTTTAAGTTAAAATTTTACAGAACATGAATTAGCCACACAGGATCAAGTAGCTTCATTTCTTAAACCAAAGATGCCATTATCAAAATCTATTTTGGAATTGGAAAAGTTGCATTGTGTTTTAAAATTAGTGTCAATATGTAAAAATACTTTACATTTTCCAAAGTCTCTGATTAACACTTTTGTAAGGTATGTGATTTTGTAAGACATGTGATTTTAAAAGTTTGAATAATTATCATTAATAATTGTTTTTATAAGAATTATCTTTGTAACTTTCATAATTTTTAACAGTCGTAAAATTGAAAATTTCTGTTGTCTTCAGAGACAAAGATGACAAAAGTCTTCTAAAGAATTTTATCTTTGGAAATGAAAGAGAATGGTTAAGATTTGATACCACCACTGTTTTCAAATTTTTGAAAGAATCATCACATCCTGAATAGCAGTTTTTTTAAATCAAATATTTCTACTCGATTTGATATAAACTATTCTGTTCTATAACTATTCTGAATGGAACATGGAATGGTTAATTGTCAAAATAAATCTGAGCATATGAACAAAATTAAACATTTATGCCACCAAAATATCAAGTTTGAATATAAACATATTTGAGTATATGAATTAATATTTGCAATATTATGTGAAACATATATTATAAAATTATATAGAGCAGATTGAATGTGAAAATATAAACAAAGTGTGCTAATGTCCATAACAAAACAAATTAAGAAGTTTTTGAAATCTGCATCGTGCAAAGTATTACCTTTCTTTAGAAACATAACTGTGATGGTACCTACCTCTTTAAGGATATTTGCATTCATGAATACACACAAAGAAAACAATTTAGATCAGTTATGGAGAGGTGCTATTAATCAACATTCTTATTACAGAATATCAGTTTTATATTAGTGCCTACATACTACTTCATATAAACTCAATAACCAATCTAATGAATCAACTAGATTTTCCAATATTAAATTTAATGGAAGAAGTAGCCACTGTACTTGATTTTGAGAGTATGTACCCATCTGTAAGCTTGAAACCCTGTTGTAACATTCTCAAGGATTATTAAATTCTAATATTGAACTCTGAAGAGCAGAGAAATAACACAATGACATTGAAAAGATGGCTAATTTAGTATGTTACTGTTCATTCTTTTTATTTAGTGGAAATATTTTTAGACTTTTGTCTAAAATATTTCCATCAAATAGGACAACCCAATCGGTTGTCCTATAGCAGGAACTATTTATGAGTTATTGATGAGAAAACAATTCTGTCTTCATTTGTGCCTGAATTTGTTATTTACTGAAGATATATATATATATCTTCAGTAAATAACAAATTCAGGCACAAATGAAGACAGAATTGTTTTCTCATCAATAACTCATAAATAGTTCCTGCTATAGGACAACCGATTGGGTTGTCCTATTTGATGGAAATATTTTAGACAAAAGTCTAAAAATATTTCCACTAAATAAAAAGAATGAACAGTAACATACTAAATTAGCCATCTTTTCAATGTCATTGTGTTATTTCTCTGCTCTTCAGAGTTCAATATTAGAATTTAATAATCCTTGAGAATGTTACAACAGGGTTTCAAGCTTACAGATGGGTACATACTCTCAAAATCAAGTACAGTGGCTACTTCTTCCATTAAATTTAATATTGGAAAATCTAGTTGATTCATTAGATTGGTTATTGAGTTTATATGAAGTAGTATGTAGGCACTAATATAAAACTGATATTCTGTAATAAGAATGTTGATTAATAGCACCTCTCCATAACTGATCTAAATTGTTTTCTTTGTGTGTATTCATGAATGCAAATATCCTTAAAGAGGTAGGTACCATCACAGTTATGTTTCTAAAGAAAGGTAATACTTTGCACGATGCAGATTTCAAAAACTTCTTAATTTGTTTTGTTATGGACATTAGCACACTTTGTTTATATTTTCACATTCAATCTGCTCTATATAATTTTATAATATATGTTTCACATAATATTGCAAATATTAATTCATATACTCAAATATGTTTATATTCAAACTTGATATTTTGGTGGCATAAATGTTTAATTTTGTTCATATGCTCAGATTTATTTTGACAATTAACCATTCCATGTTCCATTCAGAATAGTTATAGAACAGAATAGTTTATATCAAATCAAGTAGAAATATTTGATTTAAAAAAACTGCTATTCAGGATGTGATGATTCTTTCAAAAATTTGAAAACAGTGGTGGTATCAAATCTTAACCATTCTCTTTCATTTCCAAAGATAAAATTCTTTAGAAGACTTTTGTCATCTTTGTCTCTGAAGACAACAGAAATTTTCAATTTTACGACTGTTAAAAATTATGAAAGTTACAAAGATAATTCTTATAAAAACAATTATTAATGANGCGAACTTACTTTCCGAACAACCCAATATATATGACATTCTAATAATATGGAGTAATGAGAGTAACTGCAACATTGAAAGATTAATCATAAAACATGAAACAAAATGCATATTATCTACTTCTCAAATTAGAACGAAAAGTAGTACATTTGTTCATTACTTGGGTATTGAAATTGTCCTTAACCATTTTATTTTGACGTGACGATATATCATCAGTTTGGCTACAGCTGAAGCATGCAAAATAAGGATATTTCATTATTTTGAAAAATGTTTAATTTTAATCAAAAATTCTCTGCGTCATTTTACTCACATTTGGTGATTATATATATATACTTTATTGATTTATTATTTTTATAATTTTTTATCTTAATTTTATTTATTATTATTTTTTTCAAACAAAGGAAACACATGCATCAGTCAATTTTTTTTTTCTTTCCTGTAGTCATTTTTGACAAGACTATGTCTTGTTTATAAATTCTTACTGTAGTTTTATGTTACCAGCATAGAGGTATGAAGGAGTACATGTCGAGAGTTGATATTTGGCACAGAGTATTAGGTGCCAAAATCATTTGCGCATAAAAAAAGACTTGTAGGTAGTCATGGGACCGAGAACCGAGTCAAAATAAAATCCAAAATGGCGACCCTCTTCTACAAACAGGCAAAACAGGCACCTCACCCCACCGAAGTCAGGTGGGGGAGAGTACCACCCACGGTCATTCTAAGAAGTGAACTCTGACCTTAGAACCGAACATGTAGTTTCTTCTGTGTTAAATAAAATTTGTAATCTAATTTTGTAAATTTGGGAGTGCTTCAAATATGACATTAAAACAGGGTGTTGTTACAAGTAGGTTTCTTAACATTATCTAGTATAGTAAAATCATGGGACCGATAAAAATTTGATGTTATATTAGGGTCATTGTTACATCCGATGACGTTATAATTGGGTTAAACTGTATATTGTTTGTGCAAAATAAAAAAATAATTTCTGGCAATACAATAGCCACGATTATTTTTTCAACAACGGGAAATTTTTGTTACGCATTGACAAAAATTTAACCCGGGCCGACACACAACGGAGAGAAATTTCGAAATTGGATAGGTTAATTTCATTGAAAATGCATGATGGACGACCTCATGGTCGTGGCCGGTGAAATTTGAACGATCGCGCCCAAAGCAGCGATACCAAAGAAGATTGGAGAATGAGAACGAGACCCGCCTTGAGCATCAAAGTGATTCTGCTTAGTAGTGAGTCTCCGAGACATAGTCTTGTCCCAAATACGGTTTTGCTGTTTTACTTGTATTGTTTTACAATTTCAGTATTTACTTCTTATTGCCTATAAGTTACGTATATATATTTAGTTGTTTATTATTTTTCTTATTTTTGTTCTAGTTTTATTTTATTTACTTATATTCTCAAACAAATAAAACATGTTCCCTAATTGATTTTTTTTGTAGTGTGTTTTATTGTTCTATAGTTACAGTATTTTCTGCTTACTGTCTAAGTCTAAAGTTGCCTACTGTCTAAAATGAAATGCTCTACTAATGTGAGATAGCCGGGGACGTAGATCTTTGTCTACGCCACTTACGGGCAACTAGTTGGCGAGACCAGTCTCTGTCGTCCAAAGAACGGCCTTTCCCGAACGTAGGAAAACGAGTGGTGGAGGCCAAATTTAAGGTGGAAGTTGGTGATGGCGAATTCACCTCCTTCCTTATGTCAGGTTCCTGACACCAGTTTGTCAATTATTCGATCCGCGGACAAACACGCGTGTGATTATTTGATAGATCTGATTCAGAGACTCTAAAGGAGACATTCTTTAACAAATAAACAAGAATAAATTTAATTAAGCCAATAACCAATAAAAATAGTACAAATATATGGTGTTAAGAGACAATGACTACAAATTACAACCTATAAGTCGAGAGATATATGGACTTATATTCAACCGATACACAATCGAGAGAGAGAGAGAGCTTACAATATTGCTATAAAACATACAACCTGGTTTAGTTGTCTTTCGTCGTCTTCATCGGTTGGCAAAGGCACTTTGTTTATAAAGTTCTCAAACTTCATTCCATAGGAGGTCGATATGTGTACAAAATTAAAGTATATCTTCTAAGTGCTAACTCTGGAATTATTCTATGTGACTCGTCTAAGGGCGTTGGCCATCAGGAGAAATATGTGTGGAGTCCTGACTCTTCCAGGTCTGTCAACGAACTTGTCGAATTCTGATAAATTTCCTTTATATGTGACGATCGGTGACCAATCATCATACAAAGATTCTTCCGTGGGAACGGACGGAAGGGGATGAAATGAGGGGTGAACATTTCCCATCAAAGCAAGAGTTTTCGCAGATAAGGGAAAAACAGAGGATGTTCTAACTTCCCTAGAAGGAAGTAGCATCTGTTATCTATTTTTCCCAATCTAAAACGTTTTTTTTCTCACCCAAACGAAAGAATATTTTATAAGAAAATATTAACATTATTAATAAAATTACTATTTTAGACCCGGGGGCCTTTCAGATCTCACACTAACTTAAGAGAGTTTCTTGAAGAGAGTAAGAGAATTAGTATATATGGACTGTTTCATATAAAGTGATATTGTTCCCAAAAAATAGATAAATATGCATAAATCTTATATCATCATGTACAAAACAATATTCTCATTTGTGCTGGCTTGGTGCCAAAATCAAATAACAAACTCGAAGGATTTTATTTTTTGTCAAAGTAAAGTACAGTAATACCTTGACTTACGCTACCCCGACTTACGCAAACTCGGAGTTACACGATTTTCAAA